AGGCTTGCACTACCACCTAGTTTATCAGTAGTTCATCTGGTGTTCCATGTATCCATGCTCCGAAAATACCATGGGGATCCGTCCCATGTGTTAGATTTAAGCTCAGTCCAATTGGACAAAGATTTGATTTATGAATAGGAGCAGGTAGTTATTCTATCCCGGCAGGTCCGACAAATTGAGGTCTAAGAGTTATCCATCAGTTTGAGTACAATGGAGAGGTCATCCAGTAGAAGAATCTACCTGGGAGTCCGAGTTGGACATGCGGAGTAAATATCCACACCTTTTCACCAGCTCAGGTAATTTTCTAATTCCGTTCGATGACGAACATTTGTTTAAGAGGTGAAGAATGTGATGACCCAAAAGGCCATCTTTAAATTTAATATTCACTTCTATGTTCTGAGACCTCAAATAGCACCATTCAACTTTCCTCGACTTGCGTGCGCAGTCCATATAATTTTTCGGTAAGCTTTTATGTGAAAAATTGATAAAAATGTGAATTTGTGCATTAAAACTCACTTAAGTTGACTTCAGTCAACATTTTGAGCAAACGGACCCAGATCAGTATTTTGACAGTTCCGGTAGGTTCGTATCGTAATTTGGGACTTAGACCTATGCTCGAAATTTAATTTGGAGGTCCCTAACTTTAGTTATCGCCAGTTGTTGAAAACTAAAAATCTAAAGGCTAAAGGTTTCCAAAGTTTGACCGCAAATTTGACTTTATTAATATCGGGGTCAGAAACCAATTCTGAAAATTAGAATAGCTCTGATATGTCATTTATGACTTGTGTGCCAAATTTGAGGTCAATCGGAATTGATTTGATAAGTTTCGGCATCGAATGTAGAAGTTGGAATTTTCTAGTTTCATTAGGCTTGAATTGGGGTGTGATTTGTATTTTTAGCATTGTTTGATGTGATTTGAGGCCTCAACTAAGTCCGTGATATGTTTTGAGACTTGTTGGTATGTTTGGACGGGGTCCCGAGGGGCTCGGGTGAGTTTTGGGTGGTTTCGGACCATTTCTAGGCCATTTTTAGCTGTTGGTTTTTGGCTACAGCAGTGTGCTATGCGATCGCGAGTAATTGACCGCAATCACGATGAGTAAAATGGGAGAAATTGGCCAGTGATTCGCGATCGCGGATGACCTTTCGCGATCGTGTAGAGGAAACTTTTTGCTGCACTGACCCGACTTTGGAAGCTTATATCTCGCAATCTATAAGGAATTTGGAGGTGATCTAAAAATAAAAGTTGTAGCCATTTGTGTCTAGTTTTTAGAAAATCAAACCATTTGGATTTGGAGCTGTGTACGAAAAATTATAGTTTGTATACTACAAGCTGTCCGGAAAGATATTTGGAAATCGCGAAGAAGAAATTTGCGTTGCACAGGGCTGACTTTGGCAGCTTATATCTCTCAACATATAAGGAATAAAGATATGAACAAAACATAAAAGTTGTAGATCTTGGTGTCTAGTTTTCAAAAAGTTAAACCATTTATTATTTAAAATTTTGTACAAAATGTTATGACCATTATACTAGAGGTTGTACGGAAGGGTTGGAGAAGGTTGTTGGAAAAAAATTGTTCTTCGCGATCGCGGGAGAATGGCCGCGATCACATAGAGTAAAAAAAATACTGGAAATATTTTGTTCTTCGCGATCGCGGGAGTTGGCCGCGATCGCATAGGGTAAATGACTAGGCAATAGATTTAAGTTCTAAAAATGGGACTTCGTCCCATTTTCCATTTTTAACAATTTGGAGCTCGGGAAAGGGCGATCTTTGAGAGATTTTCAAGGGAAAACATTGGAGGTAAGTGTTCCTTATCCTATATTGATTATATTTCATGATTCCATACTTAATTACATCATGAATCCGTGAATTAATGGAAGAAAATTCAGATTTTTATAAAATCTTTCAAAAATACAAAATGAAGATTTGAAAGGCAATCCGATGTCGGAATTTGATAATTTTTGTATGGTTGGACTGGTCTCGAAATGGGTGTTCGGATTTCGTAAAATTTTTTGATATTCGAGACATGGGTCCCACTATTGAATTTTGAGATGAATTTCAAATTTTTATTCGGAAGATTAGTAATTTCATATGGAATTAATTCCTACGATCCGTGTTGAGTATATTGAATTGTTTATGACTAGATTTGAAGCTTTCGGACACCAATTCGTGAGGCAAAAGTTTATTGGAATATTGAATTTGGTTGCGAAGCGAGGTAAGTATTGTGGTTAACCTTGACTTGAGCGAATAGAACCCTTGAATTATTTGTTACGTGAATTTCATGTGTAACGATGTATAGGCAAGGTGACGAGTGCCTATACGTCGTCAAATTGATTGTTTGCATAATTATCTGGAAATCATAAACTATTTTCTTTATCATTAATTAATTATTATATTAATTATTTCTCTCATATTCCTTGCTAAATATTAATTCTTGAATTCATGTTATAATTGATAGATGTTTTTTTGATTTATGTGTCCTAATTGCTACTTGATATTTAGCATATTAAATATTAAATTGCCTATTTTTTCCCAGTTTTTTTACAATTAATTGCTACTTGTCATTACTTGTTTCCTCAATAAATTGTAATCATTATATGCTTTGTTGCCTAATAATTTCTTATTGAATATGGTATTTATTGGAGTATTTTTATTACATTTAAGAGTTATTAATTTTATTGTTGGAGCGGGTTGCACGCCGCAACGAAAATGAAAATGAATATATTGAGGGATCGGGTTGCACGCCGCAACGGATTATATTTTAAGTTTATATTGTTGGAGCGGGTTGCACACCACAACAAAAATTTATTGAAGAATTTTATTGTTGGAACGGGTTGCACGTCGCAACAGAATGAGAAAGAAATAATTGATTGTGACTGCTGAAATGATTTCAATTATTGATATGATTTACTTGCCTTACCTCTATTCATGTTGTTATTATTATTATTGCGTACAGGTTAATGTAAGCGACTACCCTTAGCCTCGTCACTACTTCGTCGAGGTTAGGCTTGACACTTACAGAGTACATATGGTCGGTAATACTCATACTACACTATGCATTTCTTGTGTATATACAAGAGTTAGTCCTAGCGGCGTACTATAGATTTTGCTCGGATTCAGCTATTAGAGGAGATTTGAGGTATAGCTGCACGGCGTTCGCAGCTCTGAAGTCCCCTTTTACTTTATTTTAGCCGTGTGCTTACTTTCAGGCACCTTTATTTTTATTCAGACCCTTGTTTGTATTATTCTAGTAGCTCGTGCACTTGTAACTCGAGTTCTGGGATGGTATTTAGACATCGTATTTATTTTGGTTTGTTCACTTAAATTCAGAAATTATTTCAGTTATTGGTATACTTTACTATTTAATTAAGATGAATTGTTAAAAATGGTTAAATTATTCTAACGTTGGCTTGCCTAGAAAGTGAAATATTAGACGCCATCACGGTCCCGAAGGTGGGAATTTCGTGTCGTGACAGTTTCGCACAAAATTATTATTTTTATAATGAACTACATAATACACTATCCTAAAATCATAACATGATATTTTAATATCAACTGGTAATAACGCAATTACTAGCTACTATATTTCGTCAAATTGCAACTATATTACAAGATCCAGCAGTCCAAAAGAAAGTGATACTAGTAATTAGCTGGTGAATTAGTTGGGTCATAATAGATGGTGTTTTTTTTTTTATAAAATACAAAAATTTTGGGTAATTTTTAAAATTGTTCAAAAATTCAATAGTAATATTTTGGGTCAAAAACAGGTCTAGAACTTGTTTTGGGATTTGAAAATTTTGTTTTCAAAATCTGCCAAAACATGAATAAAATCTATAAGCAAATATGTTTTGCATGGTTTGCAGGCTATTACACAGGGGGAGGTTTACCCAGTACGCACAAAGTGTTCATCTGAAGGGCAGAGGCTGTGGCAGAGATTGTAGTGACGGCGGGTTTCCCCTCTTGCCAAAAAACATGTTTTGCAAAAAAAAAAAGTTTGAAAAAAACTTGACAAAATTTATGGCCAAACGGGCCTTAGTTCGTGGATCAAATTCCGTTTTCTAGTGAATCAAAGTTGTTCTCGCCTCGCAATTTGTTCTAACAACATTAAGCAGTTCACTCTTCTAATTTTCATTTAAGTGTATCATTAGGCATTGCCTTTTTTCGCTTTTAGTGCTGAAGGAAGCCTAATAATTTCTCCCTCTTCCCTTTTGGAAACTACACCTAACCCAAGAAAGATCACCCAAAACGTGGGTACTGGGGCCAGTTGTTTGAAATATAGTTTCCGATTGAATGTACACATCAATAATGTAATTGAGGCGTGACCCTGATAAAAATTGTCCCGGTATGACTAGAAGATTATGGTTTCAAAAGCAGTGCGTGTACAGACAATAGAAATATAGAGTAAATTAAGTTACATGCATAATATTAAAAATATAGTCCGACTCTTTATTAAACCCTGCACAAAATTAAGCTTAGTGTATTGAGTTGTTCTTTTTTATTAATAGTGCAAATAATTTTGCATTATTGATATATAGGAGCCTATCAACTCAAACGATATTTATAATTTGCTTTAATTGCTTGAGTGAATGTATAAAATATGAACAGCTGTGTCGACATGAGAGGAAACTCTTTATCATCATCATCCCACGTAGTATACATCAAAAGAAAACTATAAACCACCAGATTGTAGTAATATAGCATCATTCATGTATCAAACACAAAAGGGAAACATTAAAAACAACATTCTATAATTCTTAAAGCAGGTTTTCTACGACAACCAATTCTAAAATCATCAACCAATTCCAATCACCCAAGATTTATAGAAAAAATCACCATGCACTACCAACAACAAAATTAGTGTAATCTCACAAGTATAGTCTTGAGAGGTAATTGTGTGCACAAATCTTACCCCTACCTTGAGATGATAGATAAATTGTTTCCAGTAGGTCCCCGGCTCAAGGAATAGTGAAAATAAAACAACAGACGATAGCAACAACAAGGAAATAAGGTAACGGAAGTGAATAACATAAATAATAATAACGAAACAAGAATAAGAAAATACAAGAACAGTACTAGTACTACTAATAAGCCTAGGAGAAACTCACGACTATCTGTCAACCATACACTACCAACACCACCTACAAATATTTTCCCTTATCTCACTTCTCAAACCCTATTCTCCTATGAGCTTTCATACTTCCCGGATGGTAGAAGTTATTCGGTGAAATAGTTAATAGCGCTTGCAAACTGAACATATACCATCGCTATAATAAAATCCCATTGAATTTGAAACCGAGCGAGATAAACAATAAGAATTCATATAGTCGGTCTTAACTTTCACAGAATTTGAGGTATAGTTATTGTTGTCATTACATTATGGAGCAAGCGTTTGGGTTGTCATCACTGAACATGGTCACATAAGCAGGGTCCTCAAATGTGGAAATTGTTCCAATGGTTGGGTTTTCAACCCTTCTAACATAACCAGGAGGAGCTTTCTTGTCATAAGCTGCTGCAGCATAGGGCTGAGCCACTAAATTGTAGGGCACATAGGGCCAAATCTCAGACTTCTTCCCTGTTGACTTTGCCTTCTTTAACACTTTATTTGCTTCCACATATCCTGTTACTGTCACCTTTTGCTCTTTTCTGTTTATCTCCACTGATTTAACTCCTGCAAACATTAAAGCAATTATTTAATTACTCATTGTAATTTAACTTATTATAATAGGTTAATTAGTTAATAATTTTATGTATTTCTTTAGGACATCCTAATTTATGTGACACTCTTGTCTTTTTAGTTTATCCCGAACAAAATAGTACAATATTTTTTAATATTTAAAAATAATTTATATTTTAAGATAATCTATAGTCACATATTTTACAAAAATTCTCTTTCTTAATCTTCATGACGCATAAAACAAGACAACATAAAATTTCTCGGACGGAGGGAGTAATCTTATCATATATTGTATATAAAATGTAATTACCATATAGCTTATCTGCAGATTCTATAATTTGTATACATTGCATAGAAATTAAACTCAGGAAGTTAATTAAAACGATGATCAACTTTTATCAAAGATTCATAATATAGCGACTTGAACTTGAGAAAAATTCAACCAGTATATATTATCGAGCTGCAAATTACGTATTCCATTAATATTTCTCAATTTATGTGACACTCTTCTTTTAGTTTGTCCTAAAAAATAGTACAATTCTTTTTATATTTAAAAACAATTTATATTTTAAGATGATTTATAGTGACATAAATTTTAGACCATAAACTTTAAACTTTTTGCTCTCTTTCTTAATTTTAATAACCAATCAAACAAGACAACATAAAATTTCTCGGACGGAGGGAATACGTATCATATATTGTATATACACTATAATTATCATATAAGTTATCTGATAATATAAATAACACGTTGTATAGAATTTAAACTCAGGAAGTTAATTAAAAGAAAGATCAACGTTTATCAAAGATGCATAATATAGCAATTTGAACGTGAGAAAATTCAACCCCTATATACATCATGTGTGGGACGGGTAGACGCGAGTGTTGATACTGGATGGGTGAACGCGAGTGCAAATACTATGCGGGACGGTGCGCAGCGGGTGAACACGGGTGTTGATACGAGGTGGGTGAACGTGGATGCAAATACTATGTGGGGTGGTGCGGGGCGGGGCGGATGGAAATTTTGCGGGTTAAGATAAAACCTGCCGCACCCGCCTCGCGCTGCACCGCTTGCCATCTATATACATGTCAATGTTGTGAAGAAGACGAACCTCTAATGTAGGAAAATAACAAAAACATCAAATACTATACTATATTGTTTAAATTCTTACCACTTAATGAAGACAAAGCTTTCTTGACTTTAAGCTCACAACCATCACAATCCATTCTAACTTTGAGCTCAACAGTCTGAAGCTGTTTCTTCTTCTTCTTAAACTTATGACTACTGCTCATCATATCAGAAATGTACTCCAAAGTTCCTTTAAGTCCCATATTTTCTTTGGTTTTTTTACTTTATGATCTCGTTACACAAAATGTCAAACAAACAAAGTAATTACCACAAGTTTAGAACAAGAAAGTGAACAAAAGAAGTTTTTTTCCTATGCTTAAAACAAAATTTTTAGCAAAGAAAACCCCCAAAGAGAAGGTTTTTCTGAGGCTAAGAAATTAAACTTCCCTCCAATAATGTATTCTTTACTTGCCTTAGAACAAAAAAAGAGAAAGAAAATGGTTCTAAGTTTACTCTCCTAAATTTGATATTTTTCTTTACACAGGTCTACTTCTTATATAGGCCTTTTCTTCTGAACACATGGGAGAAAAAGGAAGGCGGCCCCCACAACTAAACATGAGCTTGATATTATAAGGAGCTCAATTGCTCATGCAAACATGGATTTATATTTTATTTGTTTAAACTAAATATGTACTATTAGTATTTTACTTTTGATTTAAAAAACAGAAAACGCGGTCTGTATCACAAAGGAATAATGAGATACTATATTATAGTAATATTTTGTAACCCACAATTTCACTTTATAAGAGTATTATTATTTAGAGAATTTTATAAAATAATCGTTGATAATAATTTTTTTCATGAAATGTTGAAATTTGTATAGTTGTGAAGTTGTAACTATATTTAGGACTTCATATCTAGTTTCTAATTATCGTAAATTTCATATAAAAAATAATATTACGAAGAGAGGGATATAGCACGACTCACCCGCTAATACCCCTAAATAATCGTTCAGTGATAAAGGAGATAGTAGTACAGAGAGAACCAGGAGGTTTGCCTAGAAGCCACCATCCTTGAAGGAGTACGTATAAGCTCACTGATCGAGCGCTCTTGCGTCGAAAATAAAATTAATGTTTAATTTCGAGTGAAAAGAAGATTTGACTCTCATAGTCTAATCTTCTTTATTCTTTTTTTTTTTTGAAACGAAAGGAGTTATAGTTTTTCATCTATTACGATTTACCAATATCTGAAATAAGATTTAATTTTATATCTAGTCAAATTCTTCGGTATAAATTAAAATGAAGGGAGTACGAACTAGTTAATGGGGAAGAAAATGAAAAGTAGTAATGGCGTTAAAATGAAAAAACTTAACAAAAACGCAAAATTAAAATTTGACTCGGTAAAAAGAAAAGGAAAAGGACAAATGACCATGAAAAATGAACCTGATGAAAGGTTGCAACAAAATGTGGGCCAAACCCTATGATTAAAGAGGAAAACCACCAATAATAGAAAGAGTAGCTTCCACGTTTCGAGGTTGAACTTGAACACGTGTCACATAGCACTCTCATCAAAACAGCTGGGGTTGTGTCCAGTTCAGATTTTTATTTTTCCCTAATTTTATTTACCTATCAAGTTTTCCACCCAACATATGGTAAAAGGCCGTGAATGGTGTGGAAGTCGAAAATTATAGAATTATAGTAAATGGTTAATAATTAGTTGTGTGTCTCCCTTGTTTTTATCAGTAGTATCAGAAAAAATAAAAAATAAAATTAAAAAACTAATAATAAAAAGTTAGTATCTGTATTAAGTCTTATATATTTTTTATTTTAAGATTTTTATCATTACATGATAGTTTTTTTCGCTTCGGTTTTCTCGTTATCTTGTTGGTGTTACTGTTTGTTTGCTACTGCTTCTTCTTTTTCATCTTTTCTTGAGCCGAGTAGCTATCGAAAATAGGCTATCTACCTTTTCAAGGTAGGGATAAAGCCTACATACACACTTGTATGTGTCAAAATCTGTCTTTAGAATATTTAAGCCAAGATAATACTAAGGCACGAGTTTCCAAGTCGTCATTTTTCGAGATGGCCCAAGAAGCAGCAAAGTTTGTGGTCTAAGAGTCAAAACGAGCCGTAGTCGAGGTATCGACAAGGGTCGAGGTCGAGTATCATTGACAGAACTGTAACGACTAGTTTTCAAGATATGATATTAAAGAGAATATTCTAGTGGATATTATCTGTACCTGTACTATTAGGGTTTCTTAGGGACATGTCCCATATAAATAGAAAAAGAAACAATGATCGGGGCATGTGATATTTATTTTTGTAAAGAACACACTTTGACTTAAAGATTTGGCTCTCACTTGCTAAGATACAAACATCACCTTTTCACTGAGATTCTTGTACATACTTTTCCATCAGATCCGAGAATAACTCGAATATTTAAGGATTTTTCTATCATTCATTGTGAGGAGGAAGATCCATTTATTCCATCCTATATTGAGAATCATTCCTCCTATTTATTTAAATATCATTTATTGATGTTCATTACTATTGAATGTTACATTATTGCTCCTGATTTCCAGAACATTTATTATATGATATTGCCATTGTCCGAGCAGATCCACACGATATTTATTGCTTCTTTAAAAACTTCATTTAATAATATTATTGTTAGCTAAGATTAACTCTTATTTACATAAATTTAATTATTTGAACCAAGATCTATATTTTTTTGGTCAAACAACACTACCCTGCTCAGACCCTACTTGTGAGATTAATTTCAGAATTTACTTTATGTTCTTAAGTTACTCTATGATGCAATATATCAATCATATTTTAGTTTAGATCATACAGGATAGAAAAATGCATTGACTATGATATTTTGGATGAAACTATTACCCTAATATCCTACAGATAAACATTATTAAATTGTAATCATACAAAATTAGATTATCAAAAAAATTTAAAAGAAAATCACCTTAAAAATAATACAATCATTTTTTCTCGAAATATTTCCCTCAAACAAGAAACGCCATTATTCCACACTTTGGAAATTCATTAACAGAATATATCGTTTTCCCCCTTTTTGGGTTAATACGCTGAGAATAATTTAAGTAATGACAGTTGTTAATTAATTTCCTTGGACGCGTTTGGTATGACCATATGAACTGGAATGAAGCTGGGCATTATTTTTTTATCTTATTTTTAGTAAAGTACAGTTAGATCAACAACCTTAATAATTTAAAAAATTGTCCTTTCATATTTTCAAAAGAAAAGGGATAATAGTATTTTAGTGTAATATGCATGTGATTATAAGCTGGAAACTTCGTAATATGGTCTTGATAATAAAACGATCCTCTTAGGGGGAAATGAGCAAAAAGACAAAAATAAAATAAAATTGTATCTATATAAAGAGTTTATATTGACAGTGAGTATTTTTACACTATCAAATTATTTAATTAAAAATCAATTATAAGTAACATCTTATAGAATCATTGATTGGTGAGCTGCAAAAGACAATAAGCGATTTGTTACGAAAGGTAAACATAAACTAATAATTGTGTAAAAATATTCCAAGCTGTCAAATAACATGTACAAATTATATTCATATTGAAAAGGAGAAGCTTTTGAGAATGGAATATTTTTACGATTTGTTACGCTCTGCCCCGCGTGAATATTTTTAAAAAAAATTGAACCCGCACCTCACCCACGAGCTCCCTAACCCGCACCGCTCCGCAGACTCCCAAACCCGCACCGCACCGCACTCGCACCGCCCCATTGCCACCCCTAGATGTTGAGCCGTGGAAGCATCAATTAATGCTTATATTAAGGTAGGTTGTCTACATTATATCTCATAGGATGCGGTCCTTCCCCAAACTTTACATAAATACGAAATACATTGTGCACCGAATTGTCTTTTCACTACGCCTCTAATAAATTCCTTTCTTTTCTTGACCAAACAAAACCCCCATTTTCCTCATTGTGCTCTATTATATAAAGAATGCATGTGGCTATAGCAAGTCCAAAACTCTCCAAACCCACTCATTGATATTTTCATATCACAAAAGGTTGCTAGATTTGGCCAATTGTTTTTAAGCACTTCTTTGAAGTCCCTGCACATTAAGTAAAACTAGGTGTGCGCACAATTTTGGTACAAAAGTTATGGGCAGTACTATGGCTTGGAAATATCAAAGGGAGAGGCCCTTTAGCGCTTGTAATATTTAACTAAAGAAATAGTATTCCAAGAATGTGCACTTAAAAAAAAAATGATGTCTCGGTGCACAAAATATATGCATTCACATAGGTTCGGAGGAATAATCGCACCCTCAAAGGGTGTGATGTATATATATCATACTCTAACGCATGCATTAATTAGTGGCAGCTTTCACGGTTCGTACCCGTAACCTAGGTCACACGAATACAACTTTAATGTTCTTTTGAAAGTAGAAAAATCTTAATTTCCTTCGTGCAACTTGTTCATACATTGATAATACGTACAACATATATACTACATAATACATAGTAAAATGATTCAGTGGTCAAGACCAATGATTATAATTCGTTGTTTGATTTATTTATTTATTTATTATCATTGGTCAAGTTGATATTTTCCAGCCATGTCCTATTTTTAGAATGGTATTACTACATTTTCCTAAAATCTAATGTCATGTCAGTTACAAAATAATCCAAAGAAATATTTTACAAAATAATTTATGTCAAAGTTGAGTGATGGCAATTCAAATGGCTGTTTTCCTGGGAAGTGAAAAATATATTAAATTTGTGCAAATCACCCTTAGTCTAGTGGGCTGAGTCTGTCTGCTAAAAGAAAATTTCATTAAATTACTTTTATTGACGAATTTAATCCACTAAATAAGGAGGAAGTGCATATATATATATATATATATATATCTGATTTTGGGACACTATTGAAATTATATCTATATTATATAAAAATTTGTAAATTTACCTACTATGGAACACAAACATACACGTCTAAAGTTTTAAATTGCGTATGAAGTTACGGAAATGCAACTTCAGACACATTGGATCTGAAGTTCTTTCGTTGTAATGTGAACTTCGGACAAATTAGTATGAGGTTACAAATTTCGGTGTTGGCCAGTCACAAAGTAAACTTGGGGAAAATTGAGTCTGAAGTTAGCCCATCAAAGTACAAACTTTAGACAATTGGGTCTAAAATTCTTCAGTCGTTGTCACACCTCCTTTTTTTCAAGGTGCAATAGGGATAGGGGAGTTTTTTCAATTAAAGTGACAATATTCGAAATGAGATTATTTATTTGATCAGAGTCGTCACTTGGAATAATTTATGGTGTCCCAAGTCACCGGTTTATTTTAAATCCCAAATCGAGGAAATTTGACTCTATTTCTGGTCCGCGAACACAAAAGACTGGGTAAGGAATTCTGTTAACCCGGGAGAAGGTGTGAGGCACTCCCGAGTTCTGTGGTTTTAGTACAGTCGCTTAACAATTAATACTTGGCCTAATTATCTGA